TTTAGTATGCCATAGAAAAGGCATGTAGACCCAGAGTTGGCTCATGAGAATTTTGTGCTGTTTGGAATTATTTCCTCTGTTAAAGTCCTATTCTATTGCCTCATGGTGAAGTAGAAGTGATTCTTGGTTCTCCATGATTATGCCAGTGGGATGTAAGATCTCACTGGGTTGGTAAGGCTTCTGATATGGGCTAGTTGACAGATAATAAGACTGTATTCCAAGAATAAGCCTAAATAAACTCAGAGAGACATCACCAGAAAATTGACCAATGGATTCTGGCCATAGCAACTAATGAAGACCATTCACCAAGGTATGGAAGAGTTATAACTAGCACTGTTGGAGGAAGCATCCACACAAATGAAACTGCAGTTCATTGAAGGATATTTTGAAATATTTTGAAGTTTACAAAGCACTTTGAAAAATTATCTCACGTTATACAACCCTGGAAGGAAGGTTCTATTATTGTCCCTGTTTACAGATGAGAAAATTGAGATAGACAGAGGTCAAGTGAAACCCTAGGATCACATAGCTAGTAAGTATCTGTATCTGAATTTGAACTCAGGTCTTCCTGATTCCATGTTCAGTTCTCCACCCATTTGACCACCTAGCTGCCCTTTCTATTTTCTAGAAAAGACAATCATATCCAAGGCACAGTGCAGCATGTTGATATTGATATGTGATCCCAATCAGATGCTCTTTTACATCCAGGTTCTGTTTAACTGGACAAAGCAGATCAATTTGGATAAGGTTATCTCTTCACCTACATCACCTACATAACCATATCCTAAACCATGACAGACTGCTGGGTAGTGTAATGGATAGAGGGCCTGGAGTCAGGAAGATGTAAGTTCAAATCCAACCTCAAACACTTACGTGACTCTGAGCAAATCACTTAACCTCTGTCTGTCTCAGTTTCTTCATTGTACAGCAGAGACAGTAATAGCACCTACCTTCCATGGTTGTTATGAGGATCAGATGAGATAATATTTATAAAGTACTTAGTATAGTGTCTGGCATATAGTAGGTACTTAATAAATGTTTGCTCCTTTCCCTTCCTATACCATTTAAATGTCTGATAGATGCCCTGGACAATTTTTCTTCATAGTGGTTTGAAGACACAGATTTATTGTTAGGTAAAGTTAAAATTATTAAAATGAAGTCCATGAAGTGTGATTACCTGAGGGAAATGATGTCAACATTTTGAGAGTAGCTTCGTGCCATTAACATAGCCATATCATTGGCTTCTGAGCCACTGTTCATAAAGAAAATAACCTAGAGGAAAAATGTAAGACAAAATGTCATTAATTAAAAATATTAACTCATTGAAGAGTATTAAAGATACCGTATAAAGAGGACTCAACTTAGACAAAGTCAGTATGTACTTGGCAATACCATGTGTTTATGTATGGGCAGGCATGTATGGCTTGTAGTATATAGCTTTTGAGGGAATCCTCACCTTCATAAGATCACATATGTATGTGTACATCAGAGTAAATTTCTGTGACATTTTCTGCACATTAAAATATTTGGCCACTATAACAGCCCTATAAATGGATTGGGGAAGGTGTTAATCCCTAGTGCACTGACTCCATAACTACTTTACTAAAAACCCTTCCATGAATATCTGTGACCAGTCTCAGGAAACAAACATCTATTAATCACCTACTATATGCTGGGCACTGTGTTAAGCACTGGGGATACAAAGAAAGACAAAAAGAGCCCCCACCTCAAGGGTAGTCTAATGGAAGAGACAACATGCAAACAACTATGTACAAATAAGTTATGTGCAAGATAATTTGGAGATAATCTATGAAGGGAAGGCACTAGCTTTAAGGGGAATTGGAAAAGGTTTCCTGTGGAAATTGGGATTTTAGCTGGGACTTCAAGGAAGCCAGAAAAGACAAGAGGCAGAGGTGAGAAGGAAAAGCATTCTAGTCATGGAAGGCAGCCAGAGAAAATGCCCAGAATCCAGAGATAGAGAGCCATTAATAAATGCTAGACCCAGAGAAAGAATTCAGTGGGGAAAGTTTTCAAAGAAAAACACGAGGAATTGGTACAATGTTGGCATCCTTGAATTTCTTCTTCACGTATCTTTGTTTGAATTTTCTTTATTCTTTCCCATGCAGAACTTATGTTCTCACTCTTTTCCCATTCACTATGCCACTATTTAAAAAAAAGTATCCTTATATTTGTCTTAACTCCCATTTTGCTTTGAAATTCAAAGACAACAGTTAACACCAAACATCTAAAATCAGAAGATCTTTACCTTAACAAAAATTTAAAATATAATATACCATATTATATTCCAATATATTGTATTGCAATATATGATGCTATATTTAGATTAAAGTCATATCTATGTAGCATTGTAATATCTCCCTGATTCTGCAGAAGACGTGTTTGTGGATGCTATTTCCCACAATGCTTAGGGCTGAGACACTGTCACTCAATGGAGAAAATTATCCAATTCTTTTTAGAAGGCTGTAGATGAGCTCACAGCTTGGTGAAGTCACGACATGAGCACACTGATTTGGTGAGGAGCTTCTACAGCACCAGAGATTTAAGAGAACTAAAGATGGGAACAACAAGAGAGCAGAAAGGTGGTTGGGAGAAGAAGACTATATCCACAGCAGTCAGAGCTTTCCGAACCATGTGTCTGGACCATGGGAATGACGACGGAGCCAAAGTAAGAGTTGTCAGTATCCTTCACAAGGGAAAAGGCTGTAAGAAGAGGGTCTTTGCTCATGCCAAGTATATACACCCGAGTGTGTCAGTGCAACACTACTGTGCCCTCTTGCTATGTTAGAGAGAAAGGAGATATGTATCCTTTTGTGCCAAGAATGGTGTGCTACTTGATTGACTTCCTTGCTATTAGATTGTATCATATTTTAATTAAATGCTCTCCCTCCCTTATTGGTGGATATATTTATAGAGTGAAATATTGGTGGAGCCTTGGGTTTAAGTTTTGAAATCATTATCACTTCCAAACAGCGAGTTGAATATGGATTTTCTTTTCCATTCCATTCCACTCAATACATTAAACAAACATTTATTTAAGAACCTAGTATGTGCAAGGCACTGTGCTACACACTATAAGCACAAAGACAAAAGGGGAGAGTCAAGATAGACCCTATAATTCAATAAAAAAAATCCAGCCAATTTGTATACTTGACTGAATTTAGGAAAAACATCCAGGTAATTGAATTTTGGGATGATGTGACTAGATGTTTTCTTATTGTGTGCTATACACGGTCACAACTCTTGTCAAAAGAGAAATGCAAATTATTCAGTAAAGAGGCTGATGGAGAAAAGTTTCACCGTGCAAAAGGAATTGTAGAAGCTTTGGACCTAGAGGTAATGTACTCTTGGAAAGTCTTTACTACAAGGACTACCTAGAGGAATACTCTAGATACAGGGACACCTGAGGAAGGGAAGCAGTTCAAATACATGGACAAACATCAAGTCACCTTTCACATCTCTGTTCTGCTCTTTTTACCAATCATTCATACATTATTTTCTTTTATTTCTGCTGAAGAATCTTCTTTTCTTCCTTTTGGTTCAAAAAATCACCAATCCCAGAAGTAGAAGGGACCTCAGAAGCCTTCTAGTTTAACCCTTTCATCTTACAGTTGAGGAGACTGAGGCTTTAAGTGACTTGTCCAAAGTCACACAGGGAATAATCTAAGTCCTTGTTTGAGTCAGTGATCTTTCTGCTATACCATGCTGCCTCACCTACTTATAAGGGATCAGCTTAATACTGGGGTTCTTCTACTTAATTTCATTTCCATTTGAAGTGATGGAACCTTTTGGGTTTTGGATCCCGAGATTATTATTACTTTGGAATTGGAGCATTTTACCTTAAGTGGCTCAGGGAGAAGGGCTGTCAGCTTCTCTACATATTCATGTACTGCAGGATGCAAGAAGGCAGGACTTGTATGCCACAGGCGTCCAAGCTGTTTTTGTGCAGCTGTAGTTACCTTCCTGGGAAAAATAGGGGGAGAACACAATCATCCAGATTAACATGCCATATGTTATTCCATGTGCAGCCATTTTCAAAAGCAGTACAAGAAATTCGATTTCAGCTCAATATAACTTTCTAACAAAGAAGTGTCCAAGGATGGAAAGGGCTCCCTCATTAGGTAGTGAGCTTCTTGTTCATTGACATATGCCCAAAGAAGTAGAGTGATTGTCTATCAGGAGACTTACAGAGGGCAATCTTGAATTGGGTGGGAGATTGGATTAGTTGGCTTGGGATTCCTAACAACACTAAATTTCCAATTTATTCTTTGAACAGTGTGGAAAACAAAAACACCTGAACATAAGCCTTGATGCTTTTCTTCTCTCTTCCAAGAAATTATGAATTCATTTGTTTTGTCATATGGAGAATCAAATGAGATTTTTCTTCACAATTTTTAAAAATTGAGGGGATAAGTAGGGATAAACCTTCTTGAATGAAGTGCAAATAATTTGTCTAAAGGTGTCAGAGGAAAGCTGTAACTTTTTGGAATATATTCAAAGAACAGATGTGAATTTCAATGATGGGAACATTTTATACTGGAGTAAGTATAACACAAAGAGAAGAGAAATGGGAAAAAAAAGGAAGGAAAGTATTGATCTGACTGTTTACTTTAAGTAGGGAGAACAGTGGGGAGACCAGACTGATAAGAACAAAAGGTTCATTTTCGAGACAGGTAGAAACTCACATAAGTGGTAGTGAAGAGGGTGAAGCAGATTAAGAAGATCTGTGAAAGCTGGGTAGAGGAACTTGGAATGAATCTGCTGTGCAATAGAGTACCATTGTCTAGAGCAGGGTGTCTTAAAATGTTTTCTATCCTGGACCCCTTTGGCAGTCTGGTGAAACTTATGGACCTCTTCTCAGAATAACATTCATAAATGCACAAAATAAAACACACAGGGAACCAATTATATTGAAGTACAATTATAAAAATATTAAAAAAAAACAAACAAACCAAGAACTTTACAGATCCTTGGTAAAGAACCCCTGTTCTAAATTGTTGTTGTTTATCCTTCATTCTCGAGGAGTACCATGACATCAGGAAGGTGCTGCCATGACTTGCAAGCGAATTGAAGTGAGACAGGGCTGTGCAAGGTCACCAGCCTCACTTTCTCCTCCAGAGCTACCTGGGTCCAGTGGCAAGATATAGATCAAGAAGACTAGAGATGCCCTCTCCCACCCCCATTCTAAATTAATAACTTAAAGAAAGCAGGATTTCTGCAAGATAGATCTTTGTTACATATGAAGTGTGGCATGTTAAATATAATAAAAACATAATCTCATCTCTAATTATCAACTTCTTGTCTTTTGGATGGAAAGGCATATATTGACAAAGAACCAACATGAAGGAAAAAAAATTCTCAAAGAAATATGTTGTACAAATTTTCCCAGTTTATTGTTTCCATTGTACTTGCATTCATTTTTGCTGGTGCAAAAGTTTTTCAATTTTGTGTAATTAGTTTCTATTTTGTCTTTTCTGTTCACTTTTATTCCTTGTTTAAGTAAGAATTTTCTTTCTAGTCATAGCAGTGAAAGGCATCCTCAGACATGGCCAATGTATTAATTTGATTTATTGGACTATAAAACTTATAAGAGAGGTTTTCTGTTAGGGTGAGAGTTCTTGATCTGAGGGAAATGGATGGTATGTGAACTTTTTGAAAAAAAATTGGTAACGTTATTTCTAATATAACAGGGTTTTTTTTTCGGTAATCCTATATATTTCATTTTATGCATCTAACATTATTCTTCTGAGAAGTCATAGACTTCACTGAACTGCCAAAGGGTCCTATGACACAAAAAAGGTCATGAATCTCAGTATTAGATCATAAGAGTAGGGTAGCAAGTCAGTGGTCAATGATATAAAGGTCATGATATAAAAGTCAAGAAATAACCCCTCTTCCCAAAAAACCCCAAATCAATAAAACATTTAAGAATGCACAGGAAAAAAAACCCAAGAAGTGGAAGGGAACAAAAAATTGAATATTTCTGTCTATCATTATCTTGTTAAATTATATACATATTCCCTTTAAAATAACTGTATATAATAGAAGTTTACAGATTCTTATACAGGGTGTCCCAAAATTCTAAGTGCAGCTTAAAACTGCAGTACCCTGTATAATCCTTTTCTTTGTTTTTTGAATATTGGAATGTTTGTGCTTATTGATAATTGTCAAGTCTACAATAAAAAAAAACAAACAAACTTAAAAGCTCCAACATTTCCCAGAGATATAGAACCTATGTGAAGATTGGTGAACATCTTTCTTCTCTCTTAACACATAAAAATCTATTCCTTTTTCTTCATGGACTCCATACTTTCTCCATGTACCTGCTTTTAATGTTTAAGTTTTTCCTTTGGTTTCTTTTGGACTGTAAAATGTAGAGCTATAGCCAGAAATTCTTTAATTGTCAGGTAGAAGGCACAGAGAATAGTTCCTAGCAATTGAGTATATTTTCTTGGGAGAGGGATGAAGCTTGTTTCCCAGACAGGGAGCTAGGTGGCACAATGGACAGAGTGCTTGGCTAGGAGTCAAGCACTTGAAGACCTGAGTTCAAATCCAGCTTCAGACACTTGCTAGCTATGTGACCTTGGATAAATCACTTAACCTTTGTTTACCTCAATTTCCTCACCTGTAAAATGGGGATAATTATAGCACCTACCTCCCAGGGTGAGGATCAAATGAGATAATCACTATAAAGCACTTAGCACAGTGCCTGGCACACAGTAGGTACTTAGTAAGTTCTAGGTATTATTATTAGGGGGCAGCTAGGTGGCACAGTGGATAGAATGCCAGGCCTGGAGTCAGGAAGACTCATATTTGCCAAGAAAACCCCAAATGGGGTCACAAATAGTTAGACACAACTGAAAAACAACTGAACAAAAATCATTAGATGGTCTGGCTCTAGCGCCCGAAGCACAACCAATTCCATGACTCCTTAACCTTTGAAGAATGTAGGGGGCAGGGGGAAATGCAACTCCAATGTGGAGAAAAGTGGCTTTGGTGTAAGGTGTATGGAAGACGTAGAGCAGTAGGGTCAGGTTGGAGGACCAGCATGGGGAGGAAGTGTACTCCACTGTGTTGGTAGCCTGTGGTAAAGCCCTGGTCACTTTGCCCCAGTTATCACTCTGGGTGAGGATAAAAAATACTTTCTAAACTTTAGGATCTTTTAGCGCATTTTTTTTCTGAGAGCAATGTGGCTAGGCCATCAGGAGGAAACTGTGGAAGGAAGAGAAGATAAACAACAGATAGAAATTGAATTTTAATGGACATTAAGTATTTATTATCATCACTCACAGTAATCCCCTGTATCATTCCAAATCTATATACACTCGAGAACCTACTCCAAGTGGTCATATCTGGCACGATGCAGTGATCATATTTTAAGGTTCCCTGTATTTTGAAGTTGCCCAGAAAGTCAAACAATACTTACGGGTGGCAATGGCCAACACTAATGGTGACAATCCCTGAAAATAGATCTAAATATCTTCGGCCTTCATGGTCAAATAACCATTGCATATATCCTTGGTGGAGCAATAAGGGCTTCTGGAAATAAGTGGACACCAGGGGCGAAAAATTCTGTTTCCGAATCTTCAGGATATGGTCATAAGGCTGGGACTGCAGAAAAAAGAATTCTTGCGCTTAATTCAATAATTTTAATTCAATTAAAAAGTATTATGCATATATTGCATGCAGAGCATGATGCTAGGTACTAAGGGAGATAAAAGGTTAAATTCAGACCAGATGCCTGCCTTTATCAAGTTTACAATCTAGTAGGGAACAAGACACAAATATGGGTGTGTGTGCATATATATATATATATATATATTTATATACCCACATGTATATGTCTACATATATACATATAAATACATGTTACATGCATGAGAAAAGTGCAGAACAAAGTGCTGGGATCATAGGGAGGGATTGGATAATGAAGGCTTCTTGATAGGGTTAGAGTTTTAAAAAAACAAATAGGGATTTAGTAGGTGAAGAAAAGAGGTGGGGCACTTCAGGAATGAAAGTTGTAGTGTGAGCTCTTATAGGGCATTTTCTCTTTGTGTCCCCAAATCCTAGCATGGTGACTTATATCTAGTGAGTGACTGGGCCTATGATTTCATTGATTCATTAAGCTCCTACTGAGGAGAGGAGAGGAGAGGACAAGCTGTCCTGAGTTGTCCAACTGCAACCCTGAGGGTCTTCCCCTCCCAGTTTGATTTTTTTTTATTAAAGGGACCATCCCTTGACTCACTTTTTAAAGAGGTCTATTCACTGAATGGGTGTTGCCTCAGTCAGAGTGAGAACTTGAGAAGACCTTAGCTTAAAAAGGCCAAGGTCTCCCACAGCACCCAGGGCCAGCTCCAGTCGTCCTGATCTATATGTGGCCACTGGACCCAGATGGCTCTGGAGGAGAAAGTGAGGCTGGTAACCTTGCATAACCCTCCCTTACTCAAATCAAAGTCAATGGCAAGTCATGTCATCATCTCCCTGATGTCATGGTCCTCTTCGAGAACGAAGGACAAACTACAACACACACAACACAAGGTCCTACTGAGGAACTTCCTCTATCATTGCAGGTAGAGGCAACTTCCAATCTTAGAGAATTGCCTAGAGCACAAAGAAGTAAGTGACTTGCTCAGAGTCACACAGGTAGTATGCATCAGAGTCAGGGCCTGATCCCAGGTTTTCCTGTCTTTGAAGCTGGCTCTTTATCCACTCAGTCATGCATAGAGTAATATGCTTAATAAATGGATAAATGAATAAAACTAATAGCTTGATAAATTCTGGTTGAATGGACACATGAGTCCTTGCTTTTTCTCTCCTGCCTCTCTATTGGAATGTTAGCTCTTTGAGGGCCTAGATCATTTTTTGTTTTGTATGCCCAGAACTTAGCATAGTACATTGAACCAAGCTGCTGTTGTTTGCTCTTCATTCTCGAAGAGGATCACTGACATCATGAGGGTGATATCTTGACTTGCTCATGGATTAGATTTAAGTGAGGCAGAGCTTCAAAAAGTCATCAGTCTCACTCTCTCTCCTCCAGAGTTATCGAAGTCCATTGGCAAGACAAAAGTCAAGATGACTGACCAAGTAGCCCTTTAATGAATGAATTTCCAAATGTCTTATGAGAGTCATAACATTATCACTTATGGCAGTGTTAGCTGTTACCCTACTGCTAAAGTAGGGACCTGCTGCACTCTTAAAACAAAAACAAATATTTATAAAGATTCTAAGCCTTGTAGAAACTTAAAATCTGAAATATTTGTTTGACATCCTCTTTATACTCAACTTTAAGCACTTTCAGGATGGGGTTTGGATTTTTTATCTTTGCATCTCCCTCAGAACTTCTCATAATGCCTTGATTGTTATGGCCATTTCACAAATATCTGTCAAATGGAACCAAATTGGATTCCTTACCACTTGCCTGACCTTGAACATCACCACTCTGATATTAATTTCCTCATTTGCAAAAGCAGAGCAATGGACTTCAGGGTTCTTAACCTGGGAATCTGCAAAGTGCTTTTTTTTTTTAAAGATTTTGATAAGTTTATTTCAATATAATTGTTTTTCTTTGTAATCCTATGTATTGTATTTTATGCATTTAAGAACATTATTCTGAAGAGGAGTTCATAGACTTCACCAAACTACCTATGGGGTCCATAACACAAAAAAAGTTAAGAATCACAAGACTAGATGAACCAGAAGTCTGACAAGCTAAGGTAGAGCTAGTCTTTCCTGGGAAGTAAGTGAGCATGGCTTTTGTTGTTGCCTGTTGATTAGTTGGTTGCTGTCCTTTGTTCTCGAAGAGGACGAAAGTGACATCACTATGTTAGAGTCAAGTTACAAGGCATCTGATTATGGCTGATCAGACCAATATGAGCTCAGAACACTCTACCACAGGTTGGGCACAAATAGTCCATGTAAACATTTGGGGTGGATTCTCTAAATTTGTGTATCTCATATTTCTTTTGAGCTACTTCAATTCTGCTTTGCTTATGGAGCACAGCACCTTCTCTGATGAGGGCACACCATGCTGAGCAGTTCTGTCTCCCATGTCACACAATCAATTCCAAAGTTCTTGAGAGTGTCCTTATATCGCTTTTTCTGACCACCATGTGAGTGCTTGTGTTCTCCAATGCAAGCATGTGAGTCTCCAAAATATAGTCTTTTAGGCAAGCATATATTTGATATTCGAACAATGTGGCCAGCCCATTGGAGTTGTGCTCTCTGAAGCAGAGTTTGAATGCTTGGCGGTTTAGTTCGAAAAAGGACCTCAGTGCTTTGGTATCTCACCCTGTCAGGTGATCTTCAGAATCTTCCTAAGACAATTCAAATGGAAGTGGTTCAGTTTCCTGGCATGGCGCTGGTGTACTTTCCAGTTTTCACAGGCAAACAACAAGGATGTCAGCACAATGGCTCTGTAGACTTTCAGTTTGGTAGTCAGTCTAATACCTCTTCTCTCCCACACTTTCCTTTGGAGCCTCCCAAACACCGAACTAGCTCTGGCAATGCGTGCATCAACTTTATTATCAATGCGTACATCCCTGGAAAGTATACTGCCAAAGTAAGTGAGCTTATCCACAGCTTTCAAAACTTCTCCATTTGCTGTAATCGATGGTTCCATGTATGGGTACACGGAGCTGATGGAACACCTATGTTTTCTTGGTGTTAATTGTTAGGCCAAAATTAGCACAAGCAGCAGAGAAACCACCCTCCCTTTCAATGTAGTTTGCCCTCTTTCATTGACTCTTTCTTCTCCTTTTTCTATTCAAAATCTTTCTTAAGAAAGCCCTGATACCAATCATTAGTGTAAAGTTAAGTCAATGTACCATTCCTCCTTGGGATGTTTATATCCCAGGTCTTATCTTTAAATGTGTAAGAAAAGGACTTATCCTTAGTTAGAAGAATGAAAGGAAGAAGAGAGAGGAGGTATTTGAAGGAGAGGAGAAGTCCACCCTGTTACCCTAGAAATTTTATTCTGTATTAGATGCTCCCTCTTTCTTTAAGGTCCATCTTTTTTAAAAAGATAACCAATTGAGTCATGTTCCTGATTAGTAACCAGGGTCAAGATATATTTTCAAGATTATTGGTGCCTGAGAATTGGTGTTGCTGCTTTTGCCAGAAGAGCCATATTTTTCTCATGATACGTAGAGATGAATGATTGACTGAAATGCCAATTCAATCTTTTGCATGTACTCTTATGTACTTCCAGATCAAAGAGCAAACAAGGGATAGGGAGTGAAGTACCCTTCCTCCCCACCCTCCAAAAATGACAACTGGCAGGAGAAGCACATGGCTAGCTGCTTGTGCAGAGAGAAGTTCATGGACCTCAAATTCCTGGTTGCTATTTGTCTGTTTCTTTTTATGAGCACAGGTAAGACAAAATGGTCTTTCTATGAAAATTCAAGAGGTCTCAAGAGGTCAAGAGTTCCTGAATTAGATCATGCAAGCATGGGCTTCTAGAGGAATTACATGGCATCAACTGCAACTGACAGACTAAAGCCTTATCAACTGGGGAAGGGGGAAAAGCAGCCTAGGTTAAAATTATGCTTTTAGCTTTTTTTTTCAGTGTTTTTCTGAGATCTTTGGAGAACAAATGGATTCAGGGTGGAAGATTCTCTGTTTTGTTGCTAAAATTTAATTTCTCTCTTTTCTGCTGAAATGGTGATTAGACTTAAATCTTCCCCATTACCTGAAAATTATTTCAATAAACATTAGATTACAAGTTTTATGAACCCTTGATGTTATAATTGACATATGTAAATAATTCAAGTTAATTTCTGATATTTCCTTCTTTCCCTCAGGACTGATAGTAGTTTTAAGGAACTGGGTGCCTGATCTGTCATAGGTCATAAACCACATCTTTTGGTCAGAAAAAGGACCTCAACTGTCCTGGAAACAAATAGCACACACTATGTTGCTCATTAGGAAACATCTGGCTATTGAGGATGATTTTTTTCTATTCTGCTTGATGCCCTTCCATTGAATAAAACATCCTCAAAACAATACTGCCAAAAAAAGATGAATTTTGGAAATAAAATATATAATGTAATGGGGGAGTGTAGTGTAGTGAATAGTGCTGGTCTTAAGAGCCAGGAGGACCTGGGTTCAAATCTTGACTGAAACATACTGGCTGTGAGACCCTGGGAAAGTCACTTAATCTTTCTGAATCGCACTTCACTAATATCTCTATGAGACGGACTACCTTTAGCAGTATGCAAGGATGCTTGTAGGTTGAATTGGAAACAGAGAATATTATTAAGTGCCTACTATATGCCAGGCATTGTGCTAAGCATTGAGGATACGAATAAAAAAAGACAGTCCCTACCCTTAAGTAGCTTATAATCTAATGAGGGAAGGCAACACACAAAGTGGTGGGAATGGAAAGAAGACACCCATACGGGGGTATGGTGGAGAAGCATGAGAAATCCCAGAGTAGTACAGACAAAGAGATTTACCAAGGTCATGCAGCTAGTCAGAGGTAGAGTTGAGTCTCCTGAGATTCTAGAGTCAGGTCTCTTGACTACACAAATACTTTCTGCACTACACAAACATTTTCTGCTATGTGAATTTTGTGGGGAAGACCTCCTTTGGCTACCTCTAAAACACTGAGTCCTACCTCACATTTTTCAGGTGTGAAGTCACATGGAGGCATTTTAGGTGATGTATGAAAGCTGAGTTTAGATCCAGGCTTCCAGAAGGCACCTACCAAAAACAAAAAACAACCCACAGCATATTAGGATTGTTCTCTAACTATCACAGTCCTTCTCTAAGACCAGACAGTATCCAATTATGAAAATCTCTTATAGTTGACTTACAGATGAGGAAAGTGAATTATAGAGAGACTAAGTGCTTTGTCTAGGTTCCTACAAATAGTAGGTAGATGAACTGGGTTTCAAATCCAGGTTTTCTGAGTCCAAAAGTCAGTACTCTTTACACAATGATACACTGCTTCCACCAGGAGGGCTTGAGATCTGTGCTATTGAGGAAAGAACCGACACCAAAGACACCAGTGCATTCTCCAAAGCTTCAAAGTAAATAACTAGTTTAAAATTAACCAGGCTTTGAAATATAATCATATCTGGGTCTAAAAAAATCATCCAGAAACAAGGTTCCTTTCATAACAAAGGCAATCTGGGTTCAGGAGTGAGTGGGAGGGAGGTGCTGTCCAGGGTGCTGTGATGTAGCTCCAATTTTGCTGGAGGGAAGCTACACTGGTAAAATGGGAGAGGGTCAGCATCTAGATAATATAATTTCCCTCACCTGGGATTCCTCCCAGGTAAAGAGAGCAAGTCTTTTAAAGGTGCACTGCGCTGGAAATCAATAACCTGAAAAGCTTTCTGATGGCTCCTGTTTTCTATATGGCTCCTTACTTCTACATCTGGTTATGAAGTTTCTGACAGTTGTGCATTATCAGAAAGGACTAGAGAACTTCTGAGGATCCTTCTAAATCTATAATTCTTTGAGTTGACTATTTTGGCCTCTAGACCGTATGCAGATGGGATGAAACATTAAAAAAGCATTTAAACAGAATTAAAAGGTACCCTTTCCCAATGCACAAAAAATTAAGGATATTAATAGATGTGCCATGATCTCTATTGGATGTCAGTGAGAGAAAGGAATCACTGAATGTTAAAATGAGATATCATCTAGCATACCATCTAGTACCATCAAATGCAGGGTTTATTAATCTGGGGTCCATGAATCTGTTGAAAAACTTTTTTTTTTATAAATTTATTTCAATATTATTGGTTTCCTTTATAATCCTGTGTATTTTATTTTGGGTTTTTAAAAACATTATCTCAAAAAGGTTCATAGACTTTACCAGATTTCCAAAGGAGTTCATAACATAAAAAGATTAAGAATCCCTGATATAGTTTGGTTCCTTGATAAGCCCTTAAGATTATAATTTTAGATCTGGGAGGGGCTTTAGGGATTATCCAGTCATACCCCTTATTTTTACAAATGAAGAAACTGAATCCCTAGAGAAAGTATTTGCCAAACTCACATAACTTGTTAGTAATAAAGCTTAATCTAGAACATGTCTTTTGACTCCCAAACTAAGATTTTCCCCATTACTTTACATTGTTATTACCTCATTTCTTCCCTTCCACTCTCTCTCTATTTTCTTACATGTTTCTATTTTTTCTTTAGCAGTAAAGGAAAATCACAAATCAATGCTAAAAGATACCTAGTCCAACCCCTTCATTTTACAGATTAGGAGAGATTAAGAATTAAGGATCACATAAACTGCACATCACTAAGATAGCTGGCTAACTCCTCTGCCCACCAATGAGCTCCACAACAATAACTCATCTATCCAAAGCTCATCCTTCCCCCATATTTACGCTTTACACTACAGTTCTAGCTATCAACAAAGATGGGGATTGCCCGAGGCACTTTGAAACACACATTTTACAATCAGGCATTGCTAAATATAAACAGGTTGCTATTCAACTAAATGAACAGATGAAACAATAGCTTTTTTCTTATTGTGGATACAAAGGTGATGGACAGGATGATTACTGAGTCATTTTCCTAAGAAGACACAATAGACAACTATTTTTTAACTAAATTTAAAAGAGTCTCCTTTGGACAGATTTTCCTTTCAAGACATCCCATTTTTCTGTTTCAGAAAATCACTAATGTCATTAGTTTGTTTTTAGTACATTGAAAACAAGTGGCTTTTGATCAAATTTGGATAAGAGGGGAGGAAAAGAGGTATCTAAAGCTTCCTGAGAATTTTACTCTTCAAGAGATGCTCTTCATGTCTTTATTAGTTTCTCACATAAGATGATAAAATCTTATAGTGCTTCTAAGAATCCCATATCTCCTGACTCTTTCAGTATCATTCACTTCCCTTTCTAAACAAGGGCTGTTCATGGAGTTACAAATTCCATTGAATCTAAAGTCAGAGGAACATCAAGATGTGAAAAAATAAAACTTTTAAAAGGAAAGTCTCTGATATTAGAGACAAAGTGAATACCAAGAGTAAGGCCAGATCTATACTAGAAAAAGCAAATTAAAGGATCAAAAAATTTTTTCAGGTAAATTAAACCTACACCTCAATCTGACATGGTCATTCTGTCCCTGGGCTCTCACTTCTCTCCTCTCTCTTCTCTCTCCTATTAAAAATGAAAAAAAAAACCCAAAAAACAAAAAACAAAGCCCCAACAAACACCAATACCATACCTTACCAATCACTTTGTATTTATTTTATACAGATTTTGAATTACTTATCAATATACATGTTGTTTCTTTCAATGGATTGTTAGCTCCTAGAGAGAAGAAACAATTTCATTTTTATATTTGTATTCTCAACATCTAGCAAAATTTTGGAAACATATAGAAGTCCATTTATAAATGCTTAGGGAATTGAATATTGAATATCCTGGCCTCCATTAACTGTGTTCCTGAAAAATGCATTTTTGAGTCAGAATTACCTGGATGACCATTTGAATTATCTGTTCACAGTATTCATAGTTTTGAAGGATCCTCAGAGGTCATCTGGTCATCTGGTCTGACTATTATCCAAATCCTTTTCTGGAGTGAGGAACAGTTGTACTAATGGCCTAGAAAACAGTTCATTCCCCCAAAGGTAGTTTTAGCCTTATAGAAAACTAGGGATTTCAAGCAAAATATACAGCCAAGATTTTCCTTCTTCAGAAAGAGCATATAGATTCAGTAGCATAACTTTAGGTTTCTGTGTTCTCCTAGACTGCTTCCCTAAGACTTGGCATAATGGCTTGGTGGTGTATACGTGAGGGAAGACTTCTATCAGATCTAGAGTGAGCAGATTATGTGGATTCCCATGTTATTTACTCAGGTTTATAGTTCTCCAGGTCTATCAGTACTGAAGGTATCACTGCCTTCTACAATGATAAGACCTTTCAGATTTCACACTCCTCAAATCTACCCATTATTAAGGCATGCAAAGATTTAGTAAATGCAACTTGGGTTAAAGATTGTCCCATTGAAACAAAGATTGGTGGACAATGGGATAGATTTATAGAAAGACAGATGATATTGGTCAGTAGGCCATGAAGTCGCTTAGGTGAAAATGTATTTATTACCTGGTCAGTCAGGTTCCTGACGGGTATCTATGTGATTTTATTTGAACAGTCAGACTTGATCTCCAACACTTAATAGCATTCAGGGGGATAGGATTGAGGGAATGTTAGCCAGCAACCTGTTTATATTTAGCAATGCCTGATTGTAAAATGTGTGTTTCAAAGTGCCTTGGGCAATCCCCACCTCTGTTGATAGCTAGAACTGTGATGTAAAGTGTAAATATGGGGGAAGGATGAGCTTTGGATAGATGAGTTATTGTTGTGGAGCTCATTGGTGGGCAGAGGAGTTAGCCAGCTATCTTAGTGATGTGCAGTTTATGTGATCCTTAAATAAAATAAGAATTACAGATTATTAGAGTGGGATAGGAAGTCAGAGGTTATTCATTTTAATCCATAAACAGGAATCTCCCTTATGACATTTCTGACAGATGGTCCTCCAATTTCCCCTAGCAGAACTCTAATAATGGAGAAGTCACAGCATTTAGAGGCAGCCCATTTCACTTTTCAATGGCTTTTTTTGTTAGGAAAATTTCTTTTTGTTGGATTAAGATCCTCCTCTCTACAACTTCCATGAATTGTTCTTATTTTTGCCCTGGGAGTTCAAATAAAAGATGTCAAATCTCTCTTCTATGTAAGACTTTCAAACACTTGGGAATGGCTTTTATGGACCCCTAAAAGTTTATCTTCTCTGTCAAAGCATCACTAATAATTAGTCTGCTCTATTTGCCCATCGGATTGAGAGTCATATGTCATAGGTCATATGTCATAGAACGGCAAATTTTTATTTTTCAAAATAAGTCAAGTCAAATTGAGAACTCCAATTGAAGTGAGATAAAAGAGACTTAGAAACCAGCAATTTATCTAAGGCATAGCCAATTTCTTTTTTAGTTGACTCTCTAGGTTTCTCTAAGTAAAATCTTATTTTCCTCTTTCTCTAAAAGCATCCCATCTGGTTCTTCAGAGACTGTCATATTCCATTATTCATAGTAACATATTATTATCATGAGAAGAACATTAAAAAATGGGTTTTTATTCCAAGGAAAGCCTTCAAGTTGGTGACAGTACTGTGTAATTTCCCAATTGATGATGGCCCACTCTCCTACTCCTATTAAATATTGAGTCCTGTTCATTTCCTTTTGCAATGTTTCCTTTAAAGTTTACTCTATCCAAATTTATCACCCAATCCAGAGTCTGGTCACTGTTATCTACTAATCTGACAGAACATTCTCTTTTCCTTTTCAATGAGTTCAGTGAGCAGCTTGTAATTTCTCTCTCCACCCAAACTCCTGTCCTCATTCTATGGAACTTCAACATATATGTTAATTTTCCCTCAAATACCCTGACTTCCAGGGGTGTGCTGGTAAATATTTTCAAAAAAAAAAAGTATGCATGACACACCTTTAGGTTTAATCAGCATTATTAACATTTTCTCTATCAGATCACCTTTGATTATACTCATTATTTCCTAACTATGAATTTGACCTTAATTTCTCACAGTTTCCAAGTAGGTGCATCAAGTTCATGATTCTTCTTTTGGTGAAGGCTCTATTTAAAGATAAAGGTCTTTTGCCATCTTTTCCATCGACCTTTTGATGGCAATATAAGTGGCAGCCTGTGAATCATACCAGAAGAGAACAAAATATTCCTTGAGAGGCTCATTGCCTGCTAGTCTGGATCTAGCTGATTCTCAATCTAGTTTGAAGTTTTTCAAATGAGTAGTGGAGTTCTTAGGGAAATATACATAGTTTTTAGTTATTTATCTCATTGTGAAATAATTCTGGCTTAATTTCACTTACATATAGCCCTCCCAACCCTCTGTTTCCTTGTGTAATGTCTGCTAAATTATTATTATTATTATTGTTTGTGGAGAGGAAGGCACATGATATAAAAAGGGAATCTTTGGTGAAAATTCTCCTTTTATCTAGTGTGGTATAGAGGCTATCAATCATTGACTAGTTTGGGAGGACTTACAGAGAATGATTTATATTCCTTCAACTCTTTAATGGTAATACTTAACTTCTATAAAAGTTCCATAACCCTGGTTTATTTTATGTATACAATTTCAACAGATTAAATTAAATACATGCACACACATGTAGGTTTACATATTTATACACCAATATACACTTTATACACATACAGATACAAGCCAACAAACCACCTCAAGCCTCTCCTCTCTCTAGAACATTCTCCTCACAGTTGCCATAGTAACATTCTAAAACACAGGTCTGACCCGGGCATTCTGTTACTGAGAAACTTTTTAGAGCAAGATTTCGTAATTTATTTGGTGTCCTGCACCCACTTTTGCAGTCTGGTGAAACTTTGGGGCCCCTGTAAAAAACATTCATGATTTAAGGAAATACTAAATTTTAGAAGTTAGTGGAAATACAGGTTCCCCCCCACTCCATTCAAGGACCCTCTGGAATCTATCAATGAACTCCTGATTAAGTAGCCCTGCTTTAGTTGCTCCCTATTACTTCTGGGATAAAATACAAATGCTTTTATTTGACATTTAACGCTGTGGTGGCTGTTCCTCACACCTGGAATGCACCCCCTCCCTCCTTAGAATTCTCCATTTCCTTCAGAGTTACCTCCTATATGAACTCCCTTTCCTGATCCACCTCAACTTCTAGTGATTCCCCTGAAAGTACTTTATATTTACCTTCTGTATACTTTGTACACACACACATACACACACACACACACACGCAGAGATATATGTGTAGATAGATAGGTAATACAATTTTAAGCTTTAATAGCTTAAAACTGCACCAAGTCCCTTGGGACATTCTTTATATTTGTTGTTCGTCGTTTTCAGTTGTGTCCTACTCTTTGTGACCCTGTCTAGGGTTTTCTCGACAAAGATACTGGAGTGATTTGTCATTTTCTTCTCCAGCTCATTTGACAAATGAGGAAACTGAGGCAAACAGGGTCTTGCTCAGGGTCACACAGCTAATAAGTGTCTGAGGCCAGATTTGAATTTAGGAAAATGAGTCTTCCTGACTCCAGACCTGGCACTTTATCTACCGTGCCACCTAACTGCCTCATCTATATACATGTATGTAATGATGAGGATGATAGCTAGCATTTTTATAGTGCCTACTATATATGCCAGGCACTGTGCAAACAAAGCACGTTATGTATATTAATTTATTTGATACTCATAACAACTCTAGAGAGTGGATTCTATTATTATTCTCATTTTACAGTTGACAAAACTGAGACAGAGAGAGATTTGTCTAAGGTCATATAGCCAGTATGTAAGTGTCTGAGGCCAGATTTGAACTTAGGTCTTTCTTAGGTCCAGCACTCTGTTCACAGTGCCCCCTAGCGGCCTCTATATGTATAGTGTGCATACATATACTCCTATTATATTTATAAAACATTTTGTATATTTTATATTTAGAGAGCTTTCTTAAAGTGGAACGAGCTGTTTCAGGAAATTGTGGGTTCTTTCCTGCTGAAGGTTTTCAATAGACGTCCAGATGACAACTTGCTGGGGATATTTTAGAGATAGGTTGGAGGAAATGGCCTCTGGGTTTCTTCCCTATTCTGAGATTCTGTAATTCTGTATATGTGTTTGTATGCTTACAGGGTATGTGTGCATATGTGTGGATTCATGTATGTGTACATATATTTATGTACATATATAGCTCCATAGAGGTATGCATGGAAAGAAAAAGGTGAGATAAAATCCCAGAAAGATATTTTAATGACCAAATGAATCCTTCAGCACATATTCATATAACCAAGTGTTCTGGCTTCATAATTTCTGAGTCTCTCACTAGTGAGGATAAACCAGGTGTCCTCAACTAGCTCATTGTGAGCTGCTGGTCTTTGCAGGTAGATATCCAAGATAGCTGCTGCTACCTGCACCCCATTTCCCCAGCTTCCAGATATTTCCAGGTAAGAGTGAGGGGGCAATTTATATTCCCTTTGCCTCCTCATTCAGAGAGGGGCACTGTTAGCATTCTCCTCCATCCACAGGGATGATAAGACTTTGGGTAAACAAAAAATAGTATCTCCATCAGAGAATCATTGGAAAAGCCCTGCATTTAGAGGTAAAAGACTTGGGTTTAAATTATTGCGCTGCTGCCTACTTACCTATGTGACCTTCCTTTGTAAAATGAAGGACTTAGACTAGATAATCTCTAAGATCCCTCCAGCTTTGACTCCTATCACCACATGAAAGTGTAAAAATGAGCTTGAGTTTATTCGTTATAGGCTAAGGGATATACAAATGTCATTGATGGATGGCTCATTCACAAGGGATTATGGAAAAGAGCAGCCAGCTCCCTACTAGATTTAGGAAGACCTGGATTCCAGCTCTGATTTGACCCATTACTGGTTATATGACTTTAGGAAAGTCAGCTCAGCTCTTTGGACCTGTTTACTCAATTTTAGAATGAGGAGGATAAGTTTGATCATCTTTAGACCCCCTTCTATCTCCTATTTATACGTAGTGTCTTATGTTCCTATATTTCTGACCTATAGGATTGGGGAATTCCATTAATACTACTCAACAAGAAATTCATTCCTCTTCCCCTCTCCTGTGATAGTCACTTAGGAAGAAGGTTGAGGAACTCCTCTCTCCTTCCTCTTTCTACCTTCCCTCTTTGCATCGAATCTCCCATGAGCCCTACACCTCCCCCCTTCCTACTTACCACATTGTAGGAGGCACCTCTTAGACATCTGGAGAGAGGAAACCTTTAGGAAAGCCATGATTATCAGATTCCCAGACAACTCCCGCCAGAGAGCAGTACAGCAGGAGGCATCCGGTCACTTTCAGAGTAGTTGAACTTTGAGATTTAGGATTAGATAGAAGAGGGGAGAGGACGAGGGAGAGAAGGAAGGAGGGTGGGAGGAGGAGCTTGGCACAGTGCCATCTCTGGGATGGGAGCCCCCAGAGAGGCTGGACAAGGAGCTCTTTGGGAGAGAAAAAAGGAAAAACCGGGGTCATTTGGGTTCTGCTCTGTAGTCAGAATTCTCTTCTGGGTCTTTTCTGGGTCTGGGCTTTCCCAGTGCTGGAAGGCAAAAGAATGACAGTAGAACAGAATTCTACATCAAATGATTGGGAAAAATCACAGATGGCATCATCAGAAAAAAAAAAAGATGTGATTGAGAGGACCATAAACTACTAACTCATACGCCAATTTTCTCATCTCCACAATTCTTTTTAAAATTTAAATTCTGAACTCAAGAAATAAAACAAGCATTTCCATAAGAAAGTAGAATAGAAAAAAAGGGTTACACACAAAACTGCAAATCTATTATGTACAACTTGCTTTTTCTTTTAAACATATAATAAGATTATTATGTAAATTTCTTTTTTTCCTCCCTCTCCTCCCATGCTAGAGATGGCTACCATTAGACACAAATACATATATATGTAAAACCATACTATCGATAAATTTTTGATGAAAATAATCTGCAACAGTATTGAAGGTAAACTTTATGGAAATGTCAAAGGGGAAGAGGTGGGCTTTTGAGATAAAATTTGTAAAGCACTTAGCACACTGTGGCATGTAATAGGTGTGAAATAAATTCTCCTTCCTCTCTCCCTCCCTTCTTTCTTTCTCTCCTTCCCTCCTTCCTTCCTTCTTTTTTCTTCATCCTTTCCTCTCCCTTCCTTCTCTCTCTCCCTTTCTTTTCCTCCCTCCCTTCCTCCCTTCCCTCATTTTTTCTCTCTTCCTTTCCTCCCTTCCTTCTTTTCCTCCTTCCTTTCAGACATCAAGAGAGCCACTGCAAATTCAGAGATGGGAGTATAAATTCCACATCACTTCTGCATCTTGGTATCCTTGGTTTCCTTCAGGGTTCAGTTCATACTTTATCTTCTACATGAGACCTTTCATGGTTCCTCCAACCACTCTTGCCTCCCTCATCAAGATTATCTTTGTATCTGCTTCTTATGTGCTTTGTGTAAACCTTTGTATGTAAATACTGTATCTCTTTTTTGAATGTAAGCTCTTTGAGGGACAGTATTTGTTTTGTAGTCTTAGCACTTAACATAGTGCCTGACATTAAGCTGACAAGAAGCTTAATAAATGCTTGTTGATTGAATGATTGAGGCTTCTTGATGCCATTGGTCCTCTTCAAGAATGAAGGACAAACAACAATTTGTGAGTAGTAGTAGCTGCCCCACTGGGGACCCAACAAGCCAGCTCCAGTTGGCAATGCTGCTCTTTCCTCCATCTCTCTATCCCTCCATTCTTTCCTTCTTTCATTCCTTCCTTCCTCCCTCCCCATTTCCTTCCTTTCCTTCTTCCCTCCAACCTCTCCCTCCTTCCTTCCCTCTTCTTCCTCTCCCTCCTCTTTCTCTGTTCACACAGGGAACCATATTCTCATCTGCAGGTGCTCTGCCCAAAGGAATATAAATTTTGATCTCTGAAATCTCAAAAGATATCTTGGGTTTTATGGACTAAATTTCTTTTTGAGGGCATGCCTTGAACCCAAATCACTCTGCCTCTCATTTATTGGCCAACAATAGGTTGCATCCCAAGCTTCACTTGGTCATTGTTTAGGTTCTAATAGTTTAGAGTGAGTGTAAATAGCAATTGTTTCTGATTTGGCTAGAAACTCTGAGGGTCTTCCCCTCCCAGATTGATTTTTTTCTTTGGCTAGGTAAAAGAGGCTATTCTTTGATTAACTTCCAGGAGTCAAGATGACAGAGTAAGCAGTAAATTGCTGTAACTCTTTCAAACTCACCTCCAAATGACCATAAAACAGCCCCCACACAAATCCTGGAAGAGCAGAAACCAGCAAAAAGACAGTGAAACAATCTTTTAGTCCAGGATTGGCAAGAAAGGTCCATCTCACTTAGGTGAAAGGTAAATGCAATCCAAGATGGGAAGCATCACAACAAGCCAGCAGCAAGCCCCATCAACAAAGCCATGGGAGATCCTGAGCCCCAGTGTGGTGGAGCAAGCAAGCACCAACACCACGAGTCCCCACGTGCCTTAGCATAGCCAGGGGAACCTGCAGACTCCACTTCCAAGGACTACCACATACTGCAGCACAGCCCCAGACAAACAGGTAGACACTAACCTTACCGGTGCCTAAGCAAACAAGCAGCCAGCACTGGCCCACCACCCTTCAGTGTACCCCTGAGCAAATAGACAGCCTCCAGAGGGCAGACCACCAAGGGCTTCAGTGTAGCCCTGGGGAAACTCAGAAACACCCCACTAGGTCTCAGCACATGCCAGAAACCACCACTAGGGTGCCAGCTTAGCACCAGGTGAGCTGCCAGACCCCTACAGCCTTCTGTAGCACCAGCCAACCCCCATAGTACCCCCTCAGCACAGTACCAGACATGAGGGTCCCTTGGGGGCTTCGGCAACATTAGCACAACACCAGGTAAACATCCAGCACCTGCAACCACTAGCACAAGAAACTGGAGACAGTGATCTTTCCACTCTGGGAGCAGAGCTCAAATTTAAAAGAAAGGAAAAAGCCAAAAGAAAAAAAAAAGATGAGCAAAAAACAGCAAAAAAAGAATCTGACCATAGAGTTATTATGGTGACAGGGAAGACTAAGACACAAACTCAGAAGAGGACAACAATGTCAAAATACCTATGGGCAAAACCCCAAAGAAAAATGGGAAATGGTCTCAAACCCAGAAGGAACTCATGGAAGACTCAAAAAGGAGCATAAAAATCATATAAGAGAGGTAGAAGAAAAATTGGGAAAATAAATGAGAGTGTTGCAAGAGAATTATTAAAAAAAAAAAGAGTTAACTGCTTGGAAAACTGCTTAAAAATTAGAATTGGCCAAATGGAAAAAGAGATACAGAAGTCCACTGAAGAAAATAACTCCTTAAAGAGTACAATTCATCAAATGGAAAAGAAAATACAAAAGCTGATTGGGGAAAACAGCACCTCAAAAGTTAGAATTGGGCAAGTGGAAGCTAATGACTCTATGAGACATCAAGTATCAATTAAACAAATTCAAAAGAATGAAAAAAATGGAATAAAATGTAAAATACCCCATGGGAAAAACAACTGATCTGGAAAATAGATCCAGGAGAAACAATGTCAGAATCTTTGGATTACCTGAAAGCCATAATCAAAAGGGGGACCTGGACAGCATCTTTCAAGAAATTATCAAGGGAAACTGCCCTGATTTCCTGGAACCAGAGGGCAAAATAGGTGTTGAAAAAGTCCACAGATCACCTTAGGAAAGAGATACCAAAATAAACACTCCAAGGAACATTATAACCAAATTTCAGAACTATCAGGTGAAGGAAAAAATACTACAAGTGGCCAGAAAGAAACCATTTAAATATCAGGGAGTCACAGTCAGGATCACACAGGACTTGGTAGCTGCAACATTAGAGGATCAGAGGTCATGGAGCATGATATTCTGGAAGGCAAAGGAGTTAGGACTACAACCGAGAATCACTTACTCAGCAAAATTAAGCATAATACATCAAGGGAAAAACTTCTCATTCAATCAAATAGAAGGATTTCAAGCCTTCATAAGGAGACCAGAACTAAACCAAAAATTTGACCTCCAATATCAAGACCAAGAGAAGCATAAACAGGTAAAAAGGGAAAAGAAAACACAAGGGATTCAATAGAGCTAAGTTGTTTACATCCCTACATAGGGACATGATACTTGTAACTCTTAAAAATTGTTATCACTAACTGTACAGTTAAAAGGAATATATATAGACAGAAGGTATAGATATAAGGGGAATTTGAGAGAACAACGTAAAAAAATTACAGAATGAGAAAGAGAAGTACAATGGGTGCAGAAGGAAGGGAGAGGTAAAATGGGGTAAATTATCTCAAATGAAGAGGCAAGAAGGACCTATTACAGTGGAGGGGAAAATGGGAGGATGGGCGATTACTCTCATCAGTATTGGCACAAAGAGGGAATAATATACACAATCAGTTGAATATAGAAATCTATCTTACCCAACAGGGAAGTAGGAGGAGAGGAGATTAAGTAAAGGGGGGTTGGTAGGGATTGACAGAAGGGAGGGCAGATCAGGGGAGATGGTAGCAAAATACTAGTGAGGTGGGAAAGGGTGAAAGGAAAGAGAGAACAAACAAGAGCAAGAGTAGGATGGAGGGAAATACACCAGTAGTAATCATAACTGTGAATGTGAATGGGATGAACTCTTCCATAAAATGGAAGCAGATATCAGAGTGGATCAAAAAACAGAATCCTACAATATGTTGTTTACAAGAAACATATCTGAAGCAGAAAGCCACACTTGGAGTAAGGGTAAGGGGCTGGAGCAGAATCTGTTATACTTCAGCTGAAGTTAAAAAAAAAAAGCAAAAAAGAAAAGCAGAGGTAGCAATCTTGATCTTAGACAAAATAAAAGCAAAAATAGACCTAATCAAAAGAGATAAGGAAGGAAACAACATCTTGTTAAAAGGTACCATCAACAATGAAGCAATCAAATCAGAAGAGCAAGAAATAGTCTACCTGCCAGATCTATGGGAAAGGGAAGAATTCATATCAAATGAGAGAAAGCATTATGAAATGTAGAACAGACAATTTTGATCATTTTAAACTGAAAAGCTTTTGTACAAAAAAAACCAGTGCACCCAAGATTAGAAGGAAAGCAGAAAGCTGGGAAACAATCTTTACAGCAAGTGTCTTGGATAAAAAGCCTCATTTCTCAAATATATAGACAACTGAGTCAAATGTATGAGAATTATGAGAATGCAAGCCAATTGGGGCCATGTCAAAATAATAAAAATAACAATACTGCATAAATCAAGGTTTCTGAACTGGGGGACCATGAACTTATTTTAAAAAATGTTCTGATAT